AGCTTTAATTATGGGAAATATTTAGCGGCATTAGTGGAAATGATTCAAAATAAAAACTGAGTTATTGTTTAAAGTTGTATATATTAGAATAAATAAAATAAGAATTGCATAAGAGAACTTGACAAAAACATATTTAAAAATGATACATACATGGACATCATTTGTAAGGAGTGTTCTTTACATAAGCGAACCAAAACAAATACAGCACCAGCTGCAATGTAACAAGACTTAGCAGAAGAGGTGTCTGATAAAGATGAACTCGTAGAGCAAAAAGGGCGCATCATCTATCAGAATTAACATCTATTATTTTGTTTGTTTGTTTAGAATTAAGCACAAAGTTACACAATGGGCTATATGTGCTCTGCCCACCACGGGTATCGAAACCCGGTTTCTAGCGTTGTAACTCCGCAAACATACCGCTGTGCCACTAGGGGGCACATCTATTATTAAGTCTCGCATGTGGGATAATATTAATATTAAATACAGAGGCATATACACATGCCGAAGCTTAGATCGTTATCTAAACTATCTGAAACCAGTTATGAAAAATGCTTCTTTAAGATATCGATAGAAATCAAAGTTTCAATTAATATAAGTATTAGTATTTTGTTTTACCCCTATTCAATGGTAATAATATAGTTTTTTACTATTATTATTGAGTGTTAGTTCTGATATATTAGTCCTATAGGCTGTCATTAATAACCTTTTTATTACACCTTTTACTAACCCTCAATTCGTTTCGGAATAGGCTGTGGACAGCGAACAATAGTTTATGGAAGGAATGTTGTGGTCTCCGAATCTTAATATTAAATACATTTCCTACGCGAGGCTTATGCGTAAGTATAAAATGCGATAAATTGTGCATATCAATTAGAATTTTCTACCTCTTCCACCCAGTTTTAAGTTTTTTTGTTCTGGTTGTTGGATGTAAACTAAAACAAATCATAGCCGGTTTTGAGAATTTGTTTTATGGTCTTTTCCCTTTAGATTCTAAAATTGAAATAGTGTTATAAGCTATATTTTCGATGTTTTAATTTCATTGTTTGCTAGAGGGAGCTGCTAACATGATGATGACGCTAAATTTAAAATTTATAAAAGTAATCCTTGAATATCTAGAATGTTTGTGAACGTTAATGATCGATAGACTTTGCGAAACATTTAGAAACAAAGAGACATTATAAATACGAGAATAAGTGAAGCATTGAGTCAGGTTCAGTTTGTTCAGTGATTGAGAAGTTTATGAAGTATTAAGGTCAGTGCCAGATATCGTGTATATTCAGTTACTCAATCGAATAACCTTGAAACTGTACAAGAAAATATATTAAGTCGTATATCATAGTACTGTTAGCGAGTAAATTTCTGTCAAAAGTGAAAAAGTTATTTCTGAACTCAGGCCCACAACTGTGCACAAGTTATAGTAGCCTGTGGCAACTTTACGAAGATATAAACTAATCTGTTATCCTTACGTGGAGTAGACTTCATATCATTTTTACCAAATAATTTAAAATAACCCAACCAACGAAAGAACACGTTACAACAACAGATATTATTAGTCCATAAAACGGAAATAAAGAGGCAGAAGTTTTTGTAGAGATTTTGGAATCAAGAAGACACATTTTTGTGTAAATCATGTTCCCTTAGAATGCATCTAAGACCTCTAAGCTAACTTTTTGTTTTTAAACCAAGAAATTCTGACGTCAATTGTAAATTAACTGATTTTTCTTTACTTATCGTTCATTTTATTATTTGAAAAATTAAAATAATAATTTTATTAACACACCATAACGGAAAATACTGCGATATCTTGAAAGCAAGCAGCGTGTTGAAATGTGGAGTGTACTGACACCCCACATTTATGGGGGGAGCACACAGCATAAGATTGATTACCTGGTTGACAGTCAGTATTAGATGTGCAAGTTTCTACAGGTTTCTTTTTCTCTGCGTTCTTTGTTTCACCCAAGGGTTCCATTTGTAATTCATTTGCATCTCCATTTTCTTTTCGTACGGTCTCTTTAGCAGCTTCAACAGGTTCAACTTTGTTTATCTCTTCTTCTTGAATCACGGGAACTGCCACGGGCTCTTTCATCTCAGATTTTTTATCCTCTCTCTCTGGCTGGTACTTTGTTTTCTTTGCAACCTTTTCAGGCTGTGAGATCATACACAAATCATGTTTAAGAAGGACTTATAGATATCTGGCGAAATTATAATGAGGCCTTTGTGCATCAGCTATGCACACGTGAGGAACATAGAGCAATAGGTTCAAAGTGAGGAGAAAACATTAATAATTTATTATGGTTATTGTGCCATTCAAAATTAAAAAGAGTATAACGAAGAGGAAAATAAACTTTTCATTGGTTTAAGATGCCAATTCTTCGACATATTTCAACACCAGGAGACAGGATTAATGTAAGTTCTTTTGTTGGTACATATCTTCTCTGATTTAAGAATTTGTCTCAAAAACGGACACAAAAATATTGGTATAATCTAAAGGACTACTAGTCCTACTAAGTTTGGAGACAGTTTGGGTAGTGAAAGAAACTTTATTACAAATGTACAATACTTCGACATAAACTTGTCGAAACGTTGTACAATTGTCTTCCACTACTCATTCAAGCCGTCTCCTAACTTTTTTTTTTTTCAAAAGTGGGTTCCTTGTCATCAAATTTTAGGCCTAATTTAATTATATTAGATTTCTTTCTTGTTTTTTTTTCTTTTTTAAACCAAATTTCGTTTTAGACAAAATGGACAGCATGGTTATAAGAGTAAGAGATTTAGGGGAAAAAATAAAGACATTTTTCAGTGATATATATAATGTCCTTAGAACCAACATTTTAAACAGCAACTGTTTGGATTCCAATAATATATTAGCATATTAGAGTTGTTGCCTTACATGTTTTAGAAAAGTATTAAATAATATTTTACAAACCATTTAAGTTTTTACCTTCCAATCCCGTCCATGTTTTCTTGATTAACTTTTTAGTAGAAACAGAACTAAAAATCAGGGTTTTATTTCTTAAACAAATTAGTTCTATGACAGTCATTACAATATAAACATCTAATTCTCGTTCGGGTTTATGAAGAAAACATATCTCGCAGTAAACGATAAACTACGTGAATTACTCAGAATGACGTCACATACATATTTACACTCCATGACTTAATTATAGTATTTTGGCACTTGTGTGTAAAGTTAAAATGATAAATAATAACTTTTGAAGGCCATATCTCGCAGTAAACGATAAACTACGTGAATTACCCAGAATGACGTCACATACATATTTACACTCCATGACTTAATTATAGTGACGTTAAACTGGTACACAATTAAAAACATTTTATTTAGGCCTATTTATGGCCTTCAAAAGTTATTATTTATCATTTTAACTTTACACACAAGTGCCAAAATGAATATTATTTATGATTTTAACTCCATGACTTTTTACAAATCGTGGCTAATAGAATGAATAATAACGCTCTCTATTTAATGGATTTCTATAATGGTTTTTAAATGATATATTTTGACATCGAATATTATTTTTTTTTTACATTTTAAAGGGCGAAATAGCTCTACCATTACCTTGAATTACACTTATTGCCCTTCTTGCCCAAATGGTTAATAGTTATTTTGCAGAATACCATAATTTAAGGTTATCGTGCACTAAAAAAAAGTACTATAACCTTTAAATTTGCTGAAATATCATCTTACTTTACGTGTAAACTTCCCAAGTTTTATCGTAATACCGATAACTTAAATTATGTTACGTAAACAAATGATAACAAAAAATAACTACAGATATTTCCTCCAGGGTCTCTAATATTACATGGAAATGACATTCAGAAATCGCGATAATTAATTAGCATAGATTTAAAAACTAGTAAATGCAATGTTTAAAGAAGATGCTAGAAGTTAATACCGACCTCAGTTGTTGCTTCTTTGATTTTCTTTGGCGGTTTAACTGTAAAACAGTAATGGACAAAAATCAGGTTTTAAACACGCTGTCGGAGTTATCATCAAAACATGAGAGATGAGGATTCGAAAAACTGTGGGTTAAGAAATTGAGGTTCAATCGGAAAAATATCACACATTAATTGAAAAAAAATTTAAGGTGCTTCAAAACTCAAGACAACTGCTCATAAATTGAATGTGTTGAATTTATAGACGTTCAAATTATTGATTTTGTTTGAAACTCTTGCATAGAATGATCTGGTTGTTCTAATGGATGCTATATATTTCAAACGAAGACCACAAACGTGCCTTGGAAACGGTAAACACACACACATATATATCAAGACTACAGGGAATCAGAGTCCGCCACGAGGTATAGACCACCTCACAGAAAGCACCAATTATACGCCGACTTTATATTTAATTGGATCGATAATCATGGCATGCGGATCGAGTGTTCTAATTTAGAAGCTTAATAATACAGTGCCCGTAGGACTGAAAAGAAACCCGGCGTGTGTGTGTGTACAGTAATTCAGATAAAAGACTGTAACGACACCAAAGACAAACCCCGAACCCCATCTTCACGCATTTACAATAATAATTCTTGATTCCTCCGCAGGGGGAAAAAGTAGTGTGAAATTGTGGAGTGAATTAAAAATTCATATACATATGTTGACTGAATAAAGAAAGACTTATGTTCCTCATTTTTCAGGGGCCCTTGCCCCCCCTCCCCCGGACGCCCATATGAAATAAAATTGTAATTAGTGTACATCTAATTGTTATCAACATAATGTTTCCCACAGCTAGCTGAAATAATATTTATTATCCACACAATGTTTCCCTTATCTAGCTGAAACAATAGTTATTATTCACACAATGTTGCCCATAGCTAGTTGAAATAATAGTTATTATCCACACAATGTTGCCCATAGCTAGCTGAAATAATAGTTATTATCCACACAATGTTGCCCATAGCTTGCTGAAATAGCGTCGTTGAGGGTTCTTCCTGTCAGGAAGTAGCTAGTTCTTTTGAGAGTTTGTCTGCAGTCACTGAGCAGCTTGTGAAAGAGTTAGGGTTAATAGAAATTATACGAGTGAGTTAGGGTTAACAGATATTATACGAGTGGGTTAGAGTTAATAGGAATGATACGAGTTACCATTAGTCACAGGAAAACAACATTTTTACACAAGGTGGATACAGAATTCTGTTTGACGAATGTGCGAAATGAGGGAACAAGTATATATTTACGAAATAGATATGGTAAGAAAACAATTTTAATCGATTTTAAGCATTTATTTTTCTCCCGTAAACTGTAAAATGAAACGAAATTTTACTGTTTCTGGGTCTTTAGGGTAGTTTGTTTGTTTTTGAATTTCGCGCAAAGCTACACGAGGGCTATCTGCCCTAATTTAGCAGTGTAAGACTAGCGAGAAGGCAGCTAGTCATCACCACCCACCGCCAACTCTTGGGCTACTCTTTTACCAACGAATAGTGGGACTGACCGTCACATTATAACGCACCCACGGCTGAAAGGGCGAGCATGTTTGGTGGGACTGGGATTCGAACCCGCGACCCTCTGATTGCTTTAGGGTAGTAGAAAATCAGAATACGAAAATACAAAACAGAGGAACTCTTTCATTGTAATTAATATTTACTTTCGATCAGAGCAAGCCACTTCAGGGTGAAACTGAAAATCAACCTGGTAATGAGTATTGCTAATCAAATATATATTTTTATTACGTTATTATTTATAAAGATTAGAATGCATTGTCTCATCAATTGAGTACCCTCAATGTTTGGACAGGTGGTTAGAGCACTCGACACGCAATATGAGGTTCGCGAGTTGGAATCTCCGTCATCGAACATGCTCGCCCTTTCAGCCGTGGGGGGGAGTTATAATATGACGGTCAATCACATTATTCACTGGTAAAAGAGTAGCCCTAGAGCTGGCGACGGTTGTTCTTGACTAGCTGCCTTCCCTCTAGTCTTACTCTGCTAAATTAGGGATGGCTAACACAGATAAGCCCTCGTGTAGCTTTGCGCGAAATTCAAAAGAAAGAAAACCAAAACCGTCGTTTCCAAATGAATGAAAATATAGACATTCAAAACGTCGTGACATCCTGTAAAAATTTCTAACCCCATAATCAGTAGCAAGAATGTTGTTTGAGATTCTCAGAAAACTGATGTTCAAAGCTTCATTGTACACTTTCTTACGAAGATAAAGTTACCTTCCACTGGGAATCCTTGTAATTTTTAGAAGACATGTTGACCATGTTGTTTGAAGCCTCCCAACTTGGTCAGTGGTAGTTTAAAAACTCATACTGCTAAAAATCGAGTATCGATACCCGTGGTCGGCACAGCACAAATAACCCATTGTGTATCTTTGCGCTTAACAAGAAACAAACTTTATTTAAAACAAAAAACTGAATAGAAGAAGCCCCACACAAAATAGCCACAGGTTTGAACAAATTGGTAACTGGTTTGGTTTGATTTCAATTTCGCGCCAAACTACTTGAGGGCTATCTGCGCTGGCCATCCCTAATTTAGCAGTCTAAGACTAGAGGGAAAGCAGTTAGTCAACAGCACCCCCCCCCCGTCAACTCTTGGGCTACTCTTTTACCAATGAATGGTGGGATTGACCGTAATTTATAACGTCCCAACGGCTGAAAGGTCGAGCATGTTTGGTTACGGGATTCGAACCCGCGACCCTCATATCGCGAATCGAGCGCCCCCTAACCACCAGACCAAAAGAAAAAAGAAAGGTAACACTAGAAAGTATATTAAATAAATAATAGAAAATACGTCACTTGCGGGACCTACAAACACTACATTAGCTTCAATCACTGTCGTAGATTTGCTGTTCGTTAAAAAAAAAACGTAAACTGTCAACAATCCTAGCTAAAAACGATCAATGTTTAAGCATCCGTTGTTAAACGGGTTTTCAAGCACGTTGGTCACATTGTCAAGTATTTAATTGTTTGTTTGTTTTAAATTTCGCGCAAAGCTACACGAGGGCCATCCGCGCTAGCCGTCCCTAATTTAGCAGTGCAAGACTAGAGGGAAGGCATCTAGTCATCACCACTCACTGCCAACTCGTGGCCTACTCTTTTACCAACGAATAGTGGGATTGACCGCAACATTATAACGCCCCCACGGCTGAAAGTACGAGCATATTTGGTGGGATGGGGATTCGAACCCACGACCCTCTAATTGTGAGTCGAGCGCCCTAATCACCTGGCAATGCCGGGCCAAGAAAAAAAGTGACATTAATTTCGTGACGACCTAATACACAGATCTCTCAGTGGCATAGATATATTTGATCTCCTTTGTCAAGTAAACGATACAAATCATGTAGAATTCGTTCTACGTGAAACAATGGCAACAGCGTTAAATTACTTGAATTATAAAAAAAAGTTGTAATTATTAATAAAAGAACCATGTAAAGATTACTGAACTCAAAAGCTTCACCCAAAGACTCTTCTTCTTTAGATTTATTGGAATTCCTGCTGCTGTTGATGATGATGAACGGATTAATATGGATTATCTGACAAATACCTAGTCATAGCTTTTCTACCCCAGGTAATAAAACCTGTATTATTATGGTTCGGGAATCCAAAAATAATTTAGGTATCACAACGTATGGCTTAAAAGAACGTACAACAAAGTCTGATAAATTTCATTATGTATATAATATTTTATATATATATATTGGTTTCACGTGCTCATACACCTCGTTAACCGAAGATTTTTAATGTTTTAAAATTAAACCCTAGTTCTTTACATAAATTTGAAAAAAAAATATAACATAAAATTTCCAATAGAGCTTTTAAACCTACGACGAAACAAATAGTGCACAATGCCAAATCTGTAATGTAAAGGTGCTTTTAAACTGTAATAAAATATAAAACATACACCAATACCATATCTGTAAATAAGAGAGAAAAGAACATTTTATACTCTGGTGCAACAAACGATGCACAACGCTAGATCTAACTAAAAAAAAGAGTATTATAATTAAGTTGTGGTGGTACAAACGTCACACAACGTTAAATTACCTATGTTTCTGAAGCTAATGACTTATGCCGATGAACGAATGGAAAAATTTGTAATATATTTATATAATGATTAAAATATGTGACTAAACAGGTTGGTGTTCAAAATATGTATAATGTCGTGAAGCGTCACCTCGTGCTGGTGACGTCACTGCTCCCACACGTCATGTTGTAGGAGGCAAATTAAAAGTGGGAGAGGGAGCGAGGGAATGAGCGCCAAAGACGCGCCCATTACGGCCGCGGTCCAGGATTCTCCTTAAGGTCCTGGAAGCCCTCGAGTTCTGGATTAAATTTTATGTATCCTCCCGATATTCCTGCAAGTAATTTTTCATGAGACAGATTGAAAAGTGGGGGTCCATCAGAGTGTACATAACATAACTATTAAATGTTTTGTGCATCTTCACGAAAGTTTTTAAGCTTTTATTTAGTAAACATTACAAGTCTTTCGTAGACAAAAAATGTAGTTATATATTATTATTCATACTTGTCCGTGAGTATATGGAGTCAGAATATTGACTGCTTCTCCTACAAATCAGTTTTAGTCGGTGAGATTTTATATATATATATATGTGGCCGAATAACTTTTAATCTTTGTATACTTCGTTTTAAAATAAAAGGTGTTTTTTTAGACATCCTATGTTTGGTATTTATAGTAAATATCACGTGAAAGGCAACATTGCGCTACACACTTTGTTCAATACGCCTTTCTTGCTGTGATATCACGTGATCATGGGCGTCCGCAGGGGGAAAGGGGATACTTGCCCCCCCCCCGGAAGATGTGAAAGATTTCTTTATTTATTCATTCAGTATATATATATACTTTTATGTATATACCCTTGATTTAGACTTTGCACTACCCCCTCCTGAGAAATTCCTGTGGACGCTCATGTGAAATTCCATGCACCCCTCGAGTTGTGTATCCTTAAGCTTGTGCGTAATTTATGAGATACTTTCGAATAACCCCACAGAACAAAAAAAAATCACAAGGATTCAAAATCAGGTGATATTAGATCCAATATAATCCACACAATAGCCTGCTGAAGAAGTGTTTCATCCAAAGGTTTTGAAAAACAAAAACCGAACCAATTGTACTTCCACAAACTGCACTTGTGTAGCGAAAGTTCGGTACTATTTACACGCTATACTTTAAGAACAGAACGTACAATATACAAAACATATCATCGTGTAAATAAGGCTTATTCTAACGTGGAGCTACAGACAGGTGGCGTTATTTATGTAAGGGTTGTGCAGTAGTTTTTAAAGACCCGAATCTGTTATCAGAAAACTAAAAGTGTGGCGATACGATATGACATGTATCTTCACGATATTTGGTAAGCTTTCAGTAAACATTATAAGTCTTTTGTACAGAAAAGATCAGAATTTCTAATAAATTATTTTTGTGAAAAATTAATTGATTCAATAAAAGAAGATGAGTATTGAGTACTACATGTTGTCTTCATTTCTTTTATCAAAAAACATTACATGTAAAGTAACGCAACAAATTAACAACAACAAAATACATAGACAGATATTAACTTTTTATATTGTTTTAATTCTCTTGGCAGCTGCCATTTAGTTGATCAAACCTGAGAATTTGAAAAAGCACTGTAAAGTACTTATAAGACAATGTAATATAGATATTAATTACAGACAAGACTGTCAAACTTTGTAACAAACCGTTGGTAAAACTTCTGTATCTAGATACGTATCGTATCGGCTACTATGATGAGATCGCACCCCTAAATAATACTGCACGTATATGAAAAAAAAAATGCGAATGTAAATATACTTTAGACGACATTTTGTACAACATAAAAAAGCTTACCAAAGTTTTTAAAAAGGTCTAACGTTAGATCATAGAATAACATAAGTTTATTTATTGATAGCATTACTTACGGTAAAGTTTTAGTCCTAACTAAACTAAATAAAAAACATACAGAAGTTTTAGGGTTAAGTTATCTCTTTTATCGAGCATAGATCGTACTTAATAAAGACTTAACTAACGTTAGGCCTAAGGCAAGTGGACTTGCATATTTTCTGTGTCAGCGATTAGAATTCCTTTGTATTTAAAGAAGTACTGTTGTAATAATGATATTAATTTGATCGCAAATGTTTTGCGTGTCTCTGCTAATAAATATATACATTCTAAATTCTAAAGAGAAGTAAGTGAACCATACTTTTCTGTTATGTAAATTTTAACGAAGATGTTTTCTCGCCTGTTATGGTGGTTGTTTGAAGTTTGACCCTATATTTTAGTTTCCCGGTTGGCATTCTGAGTGGAGTAGTAATTGCATGCTCCACTACCCTAGTCAAATTAGCAAGGGTGAGTGAACAGTGTTCATGTGTTTGGTTAATTTAAAAACGTGGGTGAACATGACTGTCAAGCAAAATGGTATATATATAAATTTATCAAGTAAGATAGGGGAGGGGGTCGTTTTATCCGTCGTAACTTAGAATAGATCCCGAACGTATATAGGAAATCTGATGTTAAAGTCTGCTTATATATATATATATAAATTTATTAATTAAGATAGTGGAGGGGGGTCGTTTTATCCGCCGTAACTTAGAATAGATCCCGAACGTATATAGGAAATCTGATGTTGAAGTCTGCTTATATATATATATAACTCTTACAAAATATTCAGTGAAAAGTAACTTGGAAGCTACAGGTGAACAGGTACAAATCCAGCAATACAAATACAATGAGGTGAAACACTGTACCCCCAATTTCAATAATAACTCACGTTTTTGATGGAGTTCTTGATAAATTTTGACAGTCGTATGAGCTCAAATAAAATAAATATAAGTAACTACTCACTAATCTGGATATAAGTTTACACTGCATATATAAAGTGGTAATGATTTAATTGTTGGCGAGCTCAAGGCTAACCAATGGGCTATCTGTGATCTTAGCGAGCTCAAGGCTAACCAATGGGCTATCCGTGATCTTAGCGAGCTCAAGGCTAACCAATGGGCTATCTGTGATCTTAGCGAGCTCAAGGCTAACCAATGGGCTATCTGTGATCTTAGCGAGCTCAAGGCTAACCAATGGGCTATCTGTGATCTTAGCGA